GTGAGTGGGTGGGTGGGTGGGGTTGTTGTGGAAATAAAAAATTTCAGAAAGAAATGCACATTAAAGCGTGGAGACATTGGCTGAATGCGCTCTTTTTTACCACCAAATCCTGTTTTCGTCTCAAGTCAAAATAATCAGCTCAAACCAGGTAAATGACAAATGCTTTCCTACCAGCACACGCGCACAGCATTAAGTTAATTGAACGAGTTTGCGGTGGGTTAATATTTATCGAGAAGTGAATAATTTAATACTCAGTAGTATCAAATTATCTATAAACCGCAAAGATCAAAGTTCACAAGCGAGTCGGGTGGCAAATAGTCACCGAACTGTTAAATTTGTGAAAGTATGAACTGCTAATGCAGTTCATTTGATAGAAATGGATTTCAAGAAATGATGGACATTGTCGGCATATAAAACGAGCCCCAAATTCGCTACCTAGAGAATTAATTAAATACCACCTTGAGGGGTGAAGTCAGTGATGTCGTGAAAGATTCTTTTAAATGAAGCGAAAAGGAGCCGTTCAAACGCGGAAGAAGTAACCAAAGCGATCAATTTTCCCAATTTCTGTTGCAAAGGTTTCCACTTAGGTAAAGTTTCGACCATATAGATTGGTCCAGATGTCTTTCCAAAATTACTGATGCAGAGTTTCCTCATCTGCGAATTGCGTTTGACCAAATGCGCAGTTCCACCTTCCCCTTCCCCTCCTACATCTCCTTTTAGTTCCCTTATTTAAATTGAGATCCAACAAAAATGCCAAGCCGAGTAATGTCTCACCAAGAACAAATGAAAGATAAATGCCGCCAACTTGCTAAGATTAAAAAGAAACAATCCTCCAATTTTCCAATGAGGCGATCAAATGATCCGTGTTCAAGACACTCGGCATTTTTAGCTTTTTAAAACCACAGTCACTTGCGGCCACACATGTCTGACGTGACATTGAATCATGTAATGGGACTACACTTAGGCCATGTCATCATATCGCGGTAGTGACATGATTAAGAGGTGTAAACATTGACAAGGTGTAAACAAAATGGTGACAGTGGGAAGCATATCAGTAAATTTTATTCCAATTACAGTTGCTTTCTTTCCAGTTTGGCTTGTTTAAGTAGGACCCGTGAATTCCGGGCTAATTAGAGGAAGAGATAATAGCGTTTGCTTTGGATGGAGGTAAGATATCCTAGAGCTTTATCATATTTTATCACATTTTCTCTGGCCTGGATTAATTCATCTTGTCGGTCATCCACATCAATCTAGTGACTGTTAACTTTGAAGGACGTTCTCGCCACCACCTGCATCATTGACCAATCTTTTGAATTAAACGACGATGCTAAATTAAGTACCCCCAAACTTGCAGCGCCTTCTACAAGGAAGTGAATATTGAAAATCACAGGCACAATATCACAAAACGCATAGAGATTTAAATGACTCTTTCCTTTGACTTGAAAAATAAGTGATTGCAATCACGCAACTAAGTGTACTTTTTGAAAAATTATAAGTGCTCTCCTTACTTTGCCTCATTCATCGTGTGTTTTTCGAGGTTCACTTCAATGGATCTGCGCGTGATCGTGAGTGTATGTGATAAGTTAAGTAGGGATGCATATTACTTACAATGTCATCGAGTAAACACAGACTACGGCACCCAGATAGCTTAGAAATGTCAGCTGTCTCAAAGCTGATTTCTTAGGCAGTCGCAAAAAAATGATTTGAAGTGGTCGGACCGACCTTCGTGGTTACCAAGTGCTTGCCGAATCGTAAGATTTGAATGTTTGAACACGAACTGCCCACTGAGTAAATTTTACCTCACCCAGGTCCAAAATCCAATAAAGAAGTGTACTCTGTCACCTGGAGTGCGCGATAGACTTACCTCTACGTGGTGCACACTGGTCAACGAATAAATCTACAGTTGACCTCTGACATCAAACTACCATGGCCCGACAGTAAGTCGTATTCGACCACCCCACTTTGAGATTCCTCCTCTCTGTTAAGCCCGAAGTCAATTAAAGGGCTAATGACACCTTTCATAAAGCCTGCCACTTGATATAAATAACTTTGTCGCCTTAACTATGCTCCCTATCTTTCCAAAGTGCTCCTAACCATAAAGTATTTGAACTTCAGCATTTCGCTGTGAGCCGCTTTCACTCTATCCACTATTGTGCGTAATAAAGTCAATATAATATGGATACCAATAAAATAACCGTCCAATGGGTCGTTCTAGGAATCTGTCAACCCCCCCCCCCCCACGTCCCATGGGATTAACATTCTCTTAACTATCCAATGGCTAAAATTACTGCCATTGCTGATGAATCTTAGGCTCACAAGCAAGATCTTGAAGCGGATCTTGCCAAATTAAGGGAAGTAAATATGCCCTCATTTGTCAATAGGTTTCAAACTTAGGCCTGCGGTGTGTAAACTAGGTAAGAAGGCTCGGAAAAAACGTCCTGTATTGAATACATATGCAGTAACCATTCCCTGTTCCATTAAAATTAAATAGAAGCTGAATTATGTTCATTTCTCAATATGCGCAAACAAAACTGTTTAGGTTTATTTACCAAGGTGGCTTCTTCGTTTGCTGCATAAACATCTTCCTTCCACATAATGGCACTAAGTTCTTTCCGATGCAAATATTACGTGTGTGCAGAATGTATATATTTACATATTGTTGTTGTTGCTGTTGTTGTTGTTGGTTTATGGTGAAATCACCTCAGAATTCAAAAACTATCTTCAAGAAGTCCAATGTACCGCCATGATATCTTTTGGATACTTTGAAATGCGCAACTTACAAACTGGGAGGTGGGTTAGCAGTGCAATGGAGCAACATTGATATCATAAAACAAAATAAAATTATAAAATAGGCGTGGTGGTGGTTCGGGGGGGGGTGGTGTCAGATGCCTCGTGGAGCGTAATATACTACTTAAGTAGTTTGACTGTTACTCAATGAATCCGTGACCGTAAAGCTTACGTTTCAAAGTCTCAAACGCTTCATTAATGGATAATAAGCTAGAAATCTTCAGCGACTAGTCTATAAGCATGTTTTGTCTTATTCACTATGGAGGTCCAAATTAAGTTAACTTAGGGGGGGATGTTGAAACATCTGCATACTTAATAAAGGTATTAATGACGTGTCGTCCTTAGACCACCAAAGTTATAATGAGGAGATAATAAATTCAAGCATGCGTTATATCACAATAATTGCATGCAAAAACAATGACCTACTTCGTGTTATAATGAACTCCGGGCCTCAAGTCTTGCAGTAGAATACTCATAACTTCACCGCTAAAAACACAGGAGTGAAGAGTTCAGTTCATGGTTAAATCAACTTCGTAATCCTAGCTTCAAATCAACTCACACGTAGACACAGACGTAATTGTCGTTTCTCTCTGCAAGATACAATGCAAATCCGAGCTCTGAGGGAGAAATGGACCAGGATTTGGTGTTGGACTGGGAAGAGTCAGGAGTTTGACGTTCTTTGCTTTTCCCCTCCTCCTCATCAATGCTGTTCTTGGTTCTTGGTTCAAGTTCGGTGGAATTGTCATCTTTAACTTGGGGTTGTGCCGGTTTGGAATTATCCTCGGTAGATGTCAAGGGATCAGTGATGCCCTCGGGAAGAGAGATATTGATAGTCACGTTGTTACAACTAACTTCGCTTATCTGTGATAGAGAAAAATGCAAAAAATTTGTTATTATTTTGCATTGCTAAGTTCAATAAGCCATTAACTTATATCTATTTATAATACGGAAAATTCGGTAGATAATTATAAACACCAGAACTTATTATCAGATCATATGTAAGACCACTTTGTCTAGTGTTTCTGTATCCTTCCACTTTCGTAAGCATCGTAGAAAAGCCCTCTAATTAGTGGATTAATAGCTGGAGCACTGATTTCTTCCTGTCGATTCTATAAACGGGTTTCACATGATATATTTCCAGTGTAGGGTGAGAGATAGACTTACCTCCACGTGGTGCACCCTGGGCAACGTATATTCATACGCTGAAATAGTCTATGAACCAGCAGTCGACTTCTGACTTCAAACTATTATGACCCCACTGTATGTCATATTCGACCACTTCCACAGTACTCGTCTTACCTATCCTCTGCCTTTGTGTCTGTCTGTCTCTTTTAAATCTGTGAAGCGCTCTTCTGTCCCCCCCCCTCTCGACTTTTTGTGACTTTGTCTGTTCCTCCCCTCTGTGAAGCCTGAAGTCATCTAAAGTATTATTGATAACTATCATAAAGCCTACCATGTGATATAAATGATCCCAGTGCGCTTAACTGGAATTCGAATCTCAGGATTTCATATAGTGTTCAGTAATGCCAAACAATGATACCTAACTAGCTTATGTACAGCATAGGTGGAACTTTGTGTAGATCAACAGTGTTTATTATCAAGGGCATAACATTGAAAACCCTTTGATAACTTGTAAAAAGATTCGTGTGAAAAAGGAATAATAGCGTCTTTACTCTAAATTTACATTAACCCCAAATTGGCATAAGTCGTTCTAGTGAACTGTCTATGGGCAAAAAATACAATGTCACTGTCGGTAAATTAGTAAAAGCTTCGTGATATCAACCAACGCAGAAATGAGGTCTCAAAGTTCACCTCAGTTGGATCAACCAATTTTTTTTAATTATTATCCGAAGAAGGAACGCTTAATTCACCTCCATTTAAATATTATTGGGCATTAAAGTGATTAAACACCGCTATGACTTCACACAAGTGTGCAACTCGGCAGTAAAGACAATTGTAATGATACTAAATGTCCCCGTTCAATATAACCTTTAAAGGTTCTAATAATTTAATTGCAATCGCCCTCATGACTTCAAAAAGGCTCCAATGTGATCGACTAAAGGTAGTCTTGGCTACGTTCTACTTCTCATTACAAAATAAGCGGTCGATATTGTTAATTTAGGGGATGAATTCCCGATCTATTGCACCCTACTGCCTACTTACAGGAAATTCTTTTTCGTCATTAAATAACTCTTCAATAGATCTTTTGTTGAGTGTTGTTGAAGTAGCTTTGCTTAGCGCTCATTCAACTCTAGAATGCGTCGGCGGTATGCCTCACAAGACACCAACGGGAATTTTCATTTTATTTTTAACGTTAATGAAAATATGGAGAAATATGCAAATTCCGACGTGCCGAAGTAGAATCATATTCGAAGCAATACATCACCACTCGATGTCAACTATAACGTTTTAGTAGCGTAAATAGCCCCAAAAAACCCTGTTCGGTTATATTTAACGAATTCCTTATCAGTATCTCAAACTGTGTTAGGTGCTAATAAGCTCCCAAAAAGGAACATGTTGAAGATTTTTTCAGGCCTACTTAAATGATAAATATGGAATGTGTAAGATGGCTGCAAACGAGAACAGAAGCTCAAAGTCCTAATAAACAAATCGGCGAAAACTAGACACCCAATTAATATTAATTTAGGTTCATTTGACACAAAATAGCATCGAAAATACGGTATCTACAAGTGAAGAAATGCTGTTGTAAAGCCAATTACCTTAGGCGGAGCAATCTTTGACAAGACCTGGACAATAGCATTCCTCTCCTCTTCTGACATTCCAATGCCAGAAGCAGCTGAGGCTGCGAGAGCCGCAACTGCCGTCGGAGTAGTTCCCACATATGGAGGAGGCAGTCCAATTAACTGAGGACCTGAACTATTTGAACTGGCGCCTTGATTCACAGCTATATTTTGACCTCCTGTGGGATGAGGGTGGTGCATTGGACCAGTTGGAACAAGGTGTGGAGGCTGAAAGGAGAGATATGGGGGTCCGTGGACTCCGGGATGAGTACCTGAAAAGACATAAGGGGTCAAGTGATGGTTCTGGGATTGATGAGGAGGAAGAAAGCATCCATGGGGAGGATGAGGTGGTACATGTTGAGGACCCGGGAAAAAGGGACCCCCTGTGGCATAGAAATGAGGTGGGGCGTAGAATGCTGGTTGGGCGCCATTGGGGAGGAAAGTGGAAGGTACTGGATCTGTAACATCGAGAATTGTAGACACAGTAGTTGGTATAGTATTCGAGGAATCCGTAACCCCACTATCCAAATGCTGTTGCTTTTGTTGTTGATTCTTTTTACCCGATTTCTTTTCATTCGATCCACTTTCTGATCCACCCTTTGACTTTGAGGTGTCTCCTATAATAGAACCAAACAATAACACTAATAATACGACCCGTCCAATCAGGTATGAGTGACAGCTTCCTGTAGGCTTTTTTAAAGACTTAATAGTTTAAATCCAATAATTGGAATGGCCAATCTCCCTGTTCAATGGCTATTGAAAGTGGGTTAACTAGAGATGCGAGTTATTACTCATTACAGAAAGTGTAGGTTTATAAAAATGTTAGTTACTAATCTATTATGGAACTAATGATCCTGTGTTGATATTGATTTTATGATTCCTCTAGTGGTTAAGGCTGGTTTAGTTAATTTGAATATCATTAACGGTTATTTAATGCTTACCTCTTTAGGCATGCCCAATTATTTAGTTTCCATTCAGACATCTTTCTCTCGATTACTACTGTTGGAAATTTTATGATAAGTGCCATTATTTGCAGGAACAATGGTTCTGATGGAATGCGGAAACTTGGAAATTACAGTGAATAAATGAAGGCAAGAATGAAGTCTCCTGAACTAAATGATTCTATTATCACAGAGGGGGAAACTTGAGATGAGAGCGAACTATTAAAAAAACTATAAATAAAGAATTGTTTCCTGACACCAGATGCGAAATATGGAAAAATTCAATTCTATGAAAATGGAGAGTGGTGAACAAAAGAAAAGTAGACAGAAGTTCTCCTGAAAGGGCCTTCAAACGGACCAAAAGGCAGAGTTCTGCATATAAGATTTAAACGATAAGGTTTAAACGATAAGATGCGAGGACGGAAGTGTTTATTATTGATAGAAAAGATGTTTACTAAATATCCCCCAGAGGAAATTGTGCTTTTATTACTTATAGATGCCATATTTTCCTTGCATTTGTAATAATGACCTATTTGTATATTTCAAGGTCAAAATCAAAGTCCTCAATTGGCTTAGATGTTCCATCTGGAAGGGGAAAATCGGATGTGAAGATAGTAAAAGCCTCAATGCAATCTTACCACCTGCGAAATTTCATCATTGAAATTATCGAAATTACATGGTTTAAACCAAACTTTTTAGCCTTATTTAGAAGCTCTCAACTAGCTTGTTTATATATAGTAACGAAACGAGAAGATTCTATGGAATTTTAAATTTTAAAATATTTTAATGAAGTATCAATACTCTAGGGGACTGTAAAGCAATTAGTTTTAAAGCGAATAGGCTAAAAATTTCTGACAGCTGGATGATGCCAAATAAGTAATCATCTAGAGTAGGGTTAAAAATAGGTTTTATTTATTTGAAGTAACAGTGTGTCCAGCCAACAAGCTCCCTTACCTCCTTCCCCTTCTCATTCTTCATGATTCGTCATTGGCTAGCGCCAACGCTCCGGAAGGGTCAGTGCATCTGATGCGTGGGCGTATAAGTCCCGCTATTGGACAGTTTTAAAATGTCGACCTTAAACGGACTAACTGGAGAGCAGAGCTCTAATCTGAGCTAATTATAGCTCACCAATGAAGAATGGGAGAGGCAGAACTGATGAACATTGTTCTAAGTTCTAGTGGGGTCTCACCGTACCAGCATAGATGGCAGTAGTTTGCTAAAGGTGTCTTAATTAATTAGATGTTTACTAAGACAACTGAGTGCTTTTGGTGTTCTAAAATAGTCATGGTGTATTCACACACAGCCCACATGATTTATTGAATAAAAATAAAATTTGTTAATTTATGTGCTTAAGGTCCACCAAGCAAAAAATTTCGTGGTAAATTCAGTACTTCATTTTCCCACCCGAAGTTTTAACTATACTAAATGGATTTCAAGTGGCCTCATCCAAAACACAAAAAATTTAGAGAGAGAAACATGACAAGTTAAACAGCTATTATATGCATACGTACAAAGAAATTAACAAGTCAAACTGGCCTATTTTATTGTTGAGAGGACCCCCCAGGGGATTCGAACATACAAATTTGGCACTTACCCCGGGGGTTATATAAATCAATACATTTTCTCTCTTATTATTTCTTTTCATTCTACTAAAACACAGTGCCGACATTACTACGCAGATTTGCTAAATTATTTTTTTCAGGAAACAAGAATAAATTTGATTTTTCTGTCATTTAAGGTCACATTGTGAACAGGTACAATCCACTCAGCGATCAAAATGGTAAAATCTCTTCCAATACAAGAGAATATTTTTTTATTAACAGGAGATTTAGCGAAAATTCGCTCCCTTCAGGAAGCCGATGGGAGCTCAACATGAGTCAGTGGGAAAATCAAAGGGTATTCCGAAGGGAAAAGTAACTCTAAGTAAGGTCATTTGGAGGTCAATTCCATCAAATGTGAATTAGTTAAGGCGTTAGTCAACCAGCTTGTTAGACGGTCAAGAACCAATAGGAAGCATCATCACTACGTTTACTTTGACACCTTAATTCCATGCAAAAAATGGTACAATTTTTTAAAGTATTAATAAATGGAAGGGGGATTAAAACCAGAAGAGAGTGGCGTTCGAACGTCTTTAAAGTGCCATTTGGCTCACTCAACCCCTAATACACCTGCTCTTGTCTTCGTGAATTAGTTCTTGAGCCTGTTTGTTTTGGCAAAAACAAATATTCACGACACGAATCAAGAAAAACCGAAAAAGAAGGCAGCAAAACAATACGATGTAGGGGAGGGGGGGGTAATAGATGGTCACAAGCCAGCAGATGACATTTCATTTGTCCAAAAATGCTACAAAAGGAATTAATCGATCACACTTACCGCCCTTGTTTGGGGCCTTTTTACGTTTTTCTGAAGTAGAAGATTTGCTAGTTTTAGTTGGGGTAGATGGACTGCTTTGTTGGACAACTCTATCACCGCTCTTCTCCGGTTGATCACCAGTACTTGTAACGTGCGATGGAGTTGCTGCAGTATTAGAGGTCTCCGAGGCACTGCTGAGAGCAGCCAGCTTTCGAGCTGTCCACACGTTGTTGTCGGACGGAATGGTCGCTGGGGTAGTGGAATTGGTGGCCGTTGAATTGGACAAGGATGTCAGGGCAGAAGAATTCAACGCACGTCCGTTCAATCGACCACCTAAAGATGCTTTCAATTCGCAGGCTTCTGCTGGAGTTAAATCACCGTTTAATAATGGCAATGGACGACCTAACGTGGAAAAAAATATTTCGAATTAACTAACCTATTATATCAAATCGATAGTTAAGAAGTGAAATTAACGACAAAATCCAATTGGAAGTTACCATTACTGGAATGGAATTGCAAGGATTAGTGAGTTGTTGACAAAGGATTGATGAAATTTAATGATAAAATCATTAACAGCGTTAATATAACTTCTATACTAAAAAGTTCCTTTATAAATCTTCCATTTATGAAATGCTAAATTCTTTCCATTGGTGCAATTGCATCACCTGGAATGAGAGCACTTCTGAAATTAGGATCAGGTTACCTTTATGGAGGAACTGTGATGAACAACTTGCAGCCTAATATTTTTCTCCTAAACATTTCCAACTCGTGAGGTTAATTAATCTATTCAGTGGATGGGAACTGATGTGCATCGGTAAACCACAAAATTAACAAAAGCGAATGCTTTAGTCAAAATTGCAAACAGATTTAAACCATAGGTAGATATCACATGGCAAATATATGTATATATATATGTCAAAGGAAGGAAAAATAAACTCTCCAGTGAAAGATATAAGAGTTTTGGAAGAAAATCTCATGACGACTAAGTAAATAGACGCCTTGCCAACTCACAATTGCTTCGACAATACCATCCACTCTGGCATTGTGAAAGAATCAACTTTCATCACAGATAAATTGTGTAATTTTAAAATTCCATATCCATATGAAAACAGGCATGCGTGTGAATTTTGCGAAGAGTTAAAAATAGCAAGGAATGGTCTCAAGTTCAAGAGGAAGGTAAATATGTATTATTCTAAATAAAAAAGGTAGCGAATTAATTCAGCAATTAATTAATTAATTAGTTAATTTGAAAATTCACGCTGAAAATGTCAGCGCGTTTGGTTGTTGGCGGAAAGGGATGAATGAAGAGTTGGACTTCACACAATACTTGAATTCGAGATAAAACAGCAACTGCGGAATCAACGGAATTGACAATAACCCCTAAGCAAAAAAAGTGTAACAAAAACGACTTACTTTTAATTGTTACCATCTTAAGAGTGCAGTGAAAATCCAACGGATTTCATTTTAGTGCATGCCTTTGTTCATTAAGCAAATGCCATATTACTACTATGCACTAATGGCATAGCACTCAAAATAGAGGCTATTATCTCGATTTCAATAAGTTCATAGAAGGCAAATAGTCCGATCAATTTGACAAACCAAACGTGAAATTATATAGACAGCAATTTGTTTTGCTATTGGCGAGGTAACCTGAAAGCATTCTACCACTGCCCTTATTGGAGAGAATCAACCATTGCCGTTAAGATCAATATCAGGAGGTTTAATAAAATTATTCCGTTATCCTAAACTTTAAATCATTTCTTCCACATGTTAAAGAACCAAATAACTACCTGAGCTTTCAATTGATACACCAGTTATTGAAGCTGTTGAGAGATGACTTGACTAATCACTATCTCGGGTGATAATGAAAATGTCAGGTTTCCATTTGAATTACTTTAGGCTTAGTGGGGTGCGCGGTAGATTTACCTCCACGTGGAACACAGTGGGCAACGTATACCCATAAGGCCAAAAAGCCTATAAACCGACAAGTGACTACTGGCTTCCAATTACCGCAGCCCGTCAGTATGCCATATTCGACCACTACCACAGTTCTCACCTCAACTTACCTTTTTCTCTACCTTTGTGTCTGTCTCTCTTACGTCAGTGGATCACTCTTCTGTTCAGCCTCTTAAGTTTTTTTGTGGCTTTGTCTGCTCCTCCCCTCTGTGAAACCCAAAGTCAACTAATGGACTAGTGATAACCATCATATAGACTGTCATTTGATTTAAAAAAATTAACTAAAGACTTCGTTGCGCCATAAACAAACCCATTCTTTATGTGAAAGGCATTCATAAAGTTAATTCCTTTCAGTCAATATAAAATATATGAAACGAATTCACGTTCGTTGAGATTTGAAGAAGATATAACCCTACAGCTGTATAAAAGAGGGAATAATGGTCCTTATAACCACCTCCTCCCCTCCCCCCCCCCTCCGCCAACCCCAACTCCCCTATTTTAGTCTTCCACGTTGTTTTTTTTCATTCTCCACCCAAAAAAAGTTCGTTTGGAAAGAGAACAAAATGAAATTCATGCGCTAAAATTCATTCTCCTCTCGAAAATGCGGTGGAATTTGATGGTGAACATTTTGAATGACATAGGGGAGACACGACAATTTGCCGATTCTAATCGCTTCTCACTTTCTTCCACTCCTTGAGTAGAAAGATGAACAAACGATTGGGAAAGGCATTTTGTCAGGAAAGCGGAAATAAATAGAGAGTGAGTAGCGATTTCCTCTCATGAGGATGGAAATGACCAACAAGCATATTAATCGTTGCTAACAAAGCGACCAAGTAGTTGAGATCTGTGAGGATTTAAAATAATCCAGGGCTGACTCATCGAAGTTTGTAAGAGAGTAGATAGTGCTTAGTAATAGTGCTCAAGAGCTGTGGGGATGGGTATGTGCAATTCTAACTATTTAGGAAAGTGCATTTCCATGTCCTTGTATTATATAAAGTTATTTGTAAAAAAAGAATAGCCTTTATTTCCATTAGTAATTATCAATTTCGCCAGTCATTAATTCAGGTTGGTGTTGGTCGTCTGAACAAAGTACCAGTTGGCGGATTTGGGGGGAATCTACAATCTATCATATTTTCTATTGGTGAGAAACGATTTCCATGCATAAAACATTGTGAATTCTGTTCAGTTTTTTTGAAAATATCAGACTCCCAAATCGATTTCAATGATGTAAGAAGACAATACACAATGGAGAATACATCAATTACTAAAAACCCTCAATTGATGCTCTAATAAATATTGTGCAGAATGAAGACCTATTTTCGGGTTTACATCAAAGAAAATGTGAGTTCCTTTGATTAAAGATCATCTTTTAGTTTCAAGAAGTGAATACAGTTTATCGGTCTGATGTCTTTCAACCCACAAGTTTAAAAGCCCAATGGTTTAATTACTCCGTAGTAACTTTTAAGGAATATTAAACGGAAGAACAAACAAAAGGCTCTATTTAAAGTGTGAAAGGTAAATAAAAATTCACATGCAATTGATTAAACACCCATGAGATGTCAACGTAGAAAGTGCGATCTCTCAAGTTTTATATGTGTCAGTTCTTGATGGTTGTGCATTGAAGTGGGCATGTAATCCTTCAATTTTCCGCCACCAATAAAAACAAGTAATTTAGGAAAACCTTGACACATTTTTCGAGCGCATTACAATTTGAAGGAATTTATAGGGGGGGGGGGGGGGGGTTTAGAGTAATGACTACGTTTGACCAAGGTTGAGCGCTCATCGATATAAGAATACTTCGAAACACTTCCATTACATTAATTTTCTTAATTTTCAAAATAAAAATTAAAATAAGAAAAGTTACATAACATTAAAGTTGGAGTATTTAGCTCAAGTCGTTTAGAAGAATTAAAATTGATCTAATCAAAAATTAACTTGCGTCAGTCTATTACAACTTTCAGCAAATTTCTAAAACAGCCATTTACCTTGACAAACAAAACTAATTAACCATGCAAGACAGGCAGATCAAACATCCAAAACAGTGAAACGGTCAATTAAATCACGTCCCCTTTTGTAGCTGAGGGAAGTGACAGCGGAAGCCTTTGGAGGGGGGGGGGGGGGGGGGAAAGGGGAGGTGAATGCCGAAAAATGGTTCTAAACAAAATCCCCAAAGGTGAGACGAAAATAGATCATGTAAATTCTGTGTTTTGTCCCCTTGGGATCATTAGATAGCACTAGATAGGACATAATGGGATAAATTTTGGTGTGAAATCTAGGCCAAAATACTTGAATCATAACAGGCCATCTGGCGAATTGGAAAAAATTCGATGAAAATTATAGGGTGCTCTGTACACAGAACTCCTAAGTAAGTCCAAGAAGACTTGCATATACAGCAAGTATATAGATTGCATATACCACTCATCCCTATGAGCGGGAATGACTTGGGAAGGAAGCCAGTTTTCAGGTTATTAAATAGAATAAAGTCCTTAAAGATCCAACTTGGCATATTGCACGAAATTTCGCAACAAGGGTGATTTATGCACAAAATGTTGTTTTCTGTGGGGAGGTAGGAGGAGGAGGAGGAGGAGGAGGGGCGTTGGAGGAGGAAGGGAAGGAATCATTTCATTTTGACCCCGACCTGCCAATATCCCTTCTCTCTCACTCCCTCCCTCCCCCCCCCCCAGGAGCCAATCTTTTTCCTTCGCTTACAGTTCGTTCTCCTCAAAGAAGACACCGGTGAGGAGTAAGTGCAGGCAGCTAGAAGAATAATAAATACATCAACGAAACCGCTCATTATGAGCTAGTGACGCGCATCCGACCGCCTTCAAGGCGAAGAGTTACGTGGGCAATTATCGAAAGAAATCAGAGAATTCTTCAGTAATGAGGGCGGTGGGGGTGGAGGGGGGTGGGAGGGAGGGAGGGAGGGAAGGAGTAGGCACTTCTATAATGGTGGCGGTGCTAGAGCTGCAAAATCTTAGGTTGTTGTGGAACAATTAAAACTCACCTCCATTCGTCGGCCGGACGACATTTACGGGTTTAATTGCACGCTGATTTTGACTCATGTCTTCGGCTTGATCTGTCTCCCGAGATGCCAATTCCACTTTGCATTTACCGTCTAAATCAACAATGGTAGCCGAAGCAAAGTCCTAAAATGCAAAATGGAGAGAGAAGAAAAGAGCGATAATTTTAGGCCAGTAGATAGGATGCACACTTCATCCAACAAATTGGTGAATGCAGTGCTGTTATAATCAATGCATTAAAGATTGATGTGGGATGTTGTGGACAATTCGATACTTGTCACAATGGGGTCAGGAATTCAACCTCAACAATCCCTAGCCGACTTATTTTCACAAGCGAATGTGGATACAATGCAATTTTAAAGGCTTTGACCCCACAGTTGCTTAATGTAATAGAATGGCACAGCCATTGCTCTTCATAAATCAATACCAATTACATCCTCTAAGGCAAAATTGAGTTCAAAATAAAGCGAGCGATTCAATGAAATGGAGGAGATTGGATAACTACTAGTGCGAGCATACATACGTTTAAGAGGCAAATGTTTATCTTGCAGGGGTATGTATTTAGGTAATTTTGTCAATTTTATACAAAGAACTTGCGATCCAATGGTGGAAGAGAAAAAGAAGAGATTGGTGAACTGCCTACTCACTAATGGGCCAATAGGAAAAGAAGCGAAAGGGCTCACAGTACGTACATCTCGTAGCACTTCTGGGATTGTGGAATCTAAGTTGTCCTTGGTATCACTACGACCGATTTTCGTTTCCCCGTTGCAGTTGGAAGTCTTCTTGTTCGAGGAATCCTCGGTTGAGGATTCTTTTGAGGGACACTTTCGAGGATTTCTGGATCGGGTTTTGGAGGACTCTGTATCCAGTGATGGCTTTTTCTTGCTGTTTGAAGATGCTGTTGGCTGTTTCTTGGTTCGCACTGACGCAGAAGATGAGGCCTTTGTTGAATCTGATGGAGTTTTAGTGGGTATCTAGAATGATAAAGGGTGTTTAAGAAACAGGGATTAGAAGGCAAACAAAATCTCAAAGTCTTGAGAATTACTCTTGGGGTCACTGTTCAATTTAGATTCGACTAAAAATATTATCATTGTACTTTAGACTTGCAAGGGTATGACTTTGTTGCTTGCTTTAATTTTCTATTCTCAACCCATTAATGTTATGTAACACGGCATAGTTAATAAGTAATAATGAAATAATATTGATTTAAGTAGAAGTGGGGAGTAATTTTTCATGGTTAATAATGCTCATGACAAAGTTAGTAAAAATGGTGACTTCATTTACTTTAATGAATAACTGTTGATAAGATCCTAAGTTTGCTGTTTGTATATGGGCAAATTGAATTTGAATTATTTTATATAAAACCATAATTATGATGAGTACGCTAATTACCCTAAACGACATATTTTACCGTTAGTCAGCATAACTGACTGGCAACAGACCTGGTCTCAATGCAAAATTGTAAACAAACGATTTCGTTGTGTTTCATGAGATCGAAAATACAGGCATTAAAATATGCTAACTTGTAGCTAGTACTACAGTAGGGAGTTTGCACTAAGAAGTGCATATAAATCGAAGTTTTTGTTTTTAATTGATCGAGCGTTCAATTAACCGAAGGTTCGGAGGTATGAGTTTGCTTGAAGCAGAAAAATTGCGTTGAGATAATTTTAAAGTATGTAAGAACACGTGTAGAAATACACGCATATAAACTGCACATGCCTGTCTGTCCACAATTCTCAACACGGAGATACCTGTCCGTCTCTCTAATAAATTGACCAATGAAACGTATAGGTTGGCCAATTGAGCTCACGTATTTATACTACGTGGCAGTCAGAAGTATGTGGGCGGCATGTATGATGGTTTAAGAGGAGGAGGGGAGGAGGCTGGTGGGGGGGGGGGTGGATGTGATGAGAACAAAATTAGGAACTGAAGTGATGAGTGTGCGTAGGTGGTCATGCTTTTAAAAAGGTCGCCCCGTTATAACTGTCGATCACATATGTTTAACGTAGGGGGTGAGTGATTACGGTTTAGAGAATATGGGAGGATGTGTTTAACCACGTGGTCTCCATTTTGTAAACCCCTCGAAGCAGGCCAACTGCTTCACACCAGTTCTCCTCAAATTTATTTAATGCTCATGTAATTCTGAGAAGTGGACAATATTCTGGAATAAATATGTAGTTTAAGTGCATTCTTTTAGTCAAATCTGTTTAACTAATCGATTTATGAACGAGTGCTCGAGTAGATAGAGCGAAAGCACGGTTTTCTTAATTGACATTTGTATCGGCATACAAAAATAGCCGAATATACATAGGAAAGTTAAAATGATTCAATATAAGGTAGAAAATATTCAAGTATCGAAAAGGGTTAAAGGGATGTCAATGAGCTAGTATTCAATGCAACCTAGATTGAGAAAATATAGTAACGTGGGCGAGAGACTTACCTCCACGTGGTGCATCCTGGGCAACGTATACTCATACGGCAAAAAGTCTGTAAACCAACAGTTGGCTTCTCACTTCCAATTACTATGGTCCCACTGTATGTCATATTCGACCACTTTCACAGTTCTCCACTTACCTTTTCTCTGCCTTTGTGTCTGTCTCCCATTTTACACCTGTTAATCATTCTTCTGTCCCTCCCCCCCCCATCCATCCACCTCGACTTTTTGTTGTCCCTCCCCTCTGGAAAGCTCGAGGTCAACAAAGGCGCTAATGATAACTATCAAAACACCTGCCATTTGAAATAAATAAATAAATAGTAATGATGCGACTTTGACATTTAATTTCCACTCATTTGACAATTTACCTGTGTTTGGATCGTTACGTGCCGCTTTGAATGTTGTTCAGGCTGTTTTAGCACGAAGAAAATGTTTTTTTTTCAATACAATTACAAAAACATCACAATCACTAAGGTTAGTGATAATGTCAAATAATTAGTATTTTGATTGACAGAAAATGGCACACAACTCTACTGAAACCAATTCGAAAACTTCCACACACACACACACTTCAGTGAATAAGAAAAACAAATAATATTCAAAGCCACATCTATTCACAGTTGATCAATTGACTATTTATGGCTCTTCATATTAATTGAAATATGTGAAAGGCTTGAAATCAATGATGTAATAGGAGTATTAAATCACTCTCACATTCTCCGATTGGTTCATTCAAATGAAGAACTCGAGTGGTGGGCGTATTAACCTGCCCTTTTAGTGTCCTCTGTTTAATTTTTTAACCTGAGAGTTAAGAGATCTGGTGCTTAAGAAGAGTAAACACATTTAACAAGCCGTAGCATTTGCAATTCCGTAGCTTCCACACATTTCATTTGAATAATGCAATAATGTTATTGTGAATCAATTTTACAATAATGAATAATGCCGGATCTTAAACTTCTTTAGGTTCTATTATTGAAATATGAATTGAGATTTCATAAATGATCATCACCTCTTCTTTGTCGGTAACAGTGTTCGTTCCGAAGCACTTGCTTCCAAATAATTTTCATTCATCTTAGTGATCGTCTTTCTATTTCCAGAATTTGCTTTTTTGGGATTAAATACGAGCAAGATTAATTCCCGTTGAAATACCGATGAAAAGTAATTAGATTCAATTATCATTTGCTTGTTTGACTTGTCAATATTTGAGCCTATTGTAGCCTCTAAAGTGCGAAAGTAAAGTGGGTGGGTGGGTGGAAGCCGAAGAGGGGGTGGTTTCGAATGCATTTTCTAATTTTAAATAAAAATGTGGTGTTATTTTGACACACGCAAAAAAAAATAATTACGAAACGCAGAGATTTTAACTAATTCCATGAAAAGGGGTACATGAACAAATTCAATTTCTGCTTTGGATGGGCATCTGTAAGATTGAAATATCATGTTCCTCGATGTTCATTCAATGGAAGAGCACTGATGAACTTCCATCTTGTGATTTCCAGCTTCGAAGACATGCCAGAGAAGAACTTCTCATAGATTTATAATTTCTACCATCAACTATAAGTAACTAAACGAGTTGTAAAGATTGTAATGAAATGTGCAGATAAATGATATAATCCTGATAAGTAATAAGTTAAAGAAATTCTCAGCCTATCAATATCG